GGGCAGGGGAATCTGCCCTCAAGGAGGCCAGCAAAGGCCACCTCCAGTAGCGTAGGCCACCAGTGGCCAAAGAACTGGCTACCCCAAATCCTGAGTCCCCCTCCCTGGGATTGGGACGCTGAGATTACCACTCACCAGCACATCTCTGAAGAGTAACTGGGGCCCGGAGTGCACTGTCCAGTCCACCGCGCCAGTATTTGGAATCCTGATGCGAATCACCAGCACCTGGTTCTCCATGGCACCGTAGGGGCCAAGGGCCAGCCACAGCATTACAGGTTAAAGGGGCTCACATCCCGTGCCCTGAGGAGGAGGGGCTCCAAGCGGCGACAAGAGGGGCAGAGAGTGAAAACGGGGCGCGGGCGGAAGGATGAGGGGCGCCCGGCAGGGAGTCCGGGCACAGGCCTGGCCCAGGCTCCGCGGGGTTGGCGGGGTCCTCCGCCCGCCGAGGGTGCCCTGGGGAGCGGCCGGGGCAGGAGGAACCGGAGGTCGGGAGGCTGTGGCGGTGGGAAGGAGGGCAAACGGAACGGGGACTCTCTGGGCGGTCGGTGTGGCGCAAGGACGCGACTGGGGGACCACCGGCGGCAGGTGTCCGCCCCTCCGGAGTGCCGGAGGGGAGCGTCCCGGCCACGAGGAACGAAGCCCGGGAACGCCGGGCCCGGGGGGAGCCGAGGGCCCCGCGCGGGGTCGGGGGCGAGTCCTCCGCCCCTGGGAAGCGAGGGCGCGGCGCGTACGGGCTCAGCCCCCGCTCCCCGAGGCCGCGCCACCCGGCTGCGACGGAGGCGGCGAGAAGAAGAGGAAGGCGGCGCGGGCGCACTGTCACTCCGGAACCAAAACGCGCCGGCGCCGGAACCCCGGGAGCCGACGTGTGGGACCCGCCTCCCGCGGCGCCATGTTGGAAGAGGGCAGCGCCCGCGCGGGCCGCGCAGCCCGCGGAAGGCTGTGGCGTCTGCGGCCGCCCAGGGGGGTGACGGCTCTTCTCCACGCTGGTTGAATCAGCCTGAGGGGCAAACACCCGACAGACGCAGGACGAGACAGATCTAGGGCTAGAGTCAGCCGAAAGCCAACTTAAGGCTTAAAACTGCTTACTGCTTGCGCTCAGAGAAACCTCAACGGGACGGTGGCTCCCATTGAAGCCCACTTGGTCAAGCTCTGCTTTTTGGGGCCTCAAACCAACAAGAGCAAGGAAAGAACTAAAGGAACTGAGGATTACCTCCTTACCCCGAGGAGGAGGATCCTCATCTGTCTTGCACGTTAGCAAAACGTACATGCATTTTTTTAGTGAGCTCCCCTAGCAGTGCCCTGAAAATACGAACCAGCCCCGGGAGCAAAAGCAACAGTAAAGAATCTCAGTAAAGGAGGTTAACTGCTTGGGATTAGCTGCAGGACTGGCATCTGAATCTTTTATTCAAACGTTGCAAAAGATTAGGTCTCGACCATATATTTTCAGCTAAATTGCAGTTGCTTATGCAATCGGTGGTATCAGGGCAGTTGCTGTAAACCTTGGTTATTTTTAAATGCCTTGTTACTTCAGATCTTAAAATACATAACCCCGTCGATCTATGGTGCCCATACGGAACTTGTTTACAAATGGCAGCGTGTAACTTAAGTCTTCCTTTTTTAGTAGCGAAAAACGAACATCTTGGCTTTACTTCTGGGGTTTGAATTTTGCATAAACTCAATAAGGAATAGTCTTTTTTGTTTTGTTGTGGGTTTTTTGGGGGGAGTTGGCGAAACTGGGGATTGAACTCAGACCCTTGCATTTGCTAGGGAAGCACTTATTCCACTGAGCCATCTCCCCGGCCCATAGTAGTCTGTTTCTTCTGGAACAGTTTTATTAGTTGATTGATGTGAGAAGGCAAAATTCTAAATGTTGATCAGTTTTAGCATAGTGTCATTTTTTTTTTTATAATTTTGACTACCTTTCACTTATATTTAATTTGAAAGGTCATTGTTGGAGATAAATTGTCAAGTTTTATTGTCACTTAATAACAGGTAGAAATTCATTTAGTCAGATCCTTCAGGTATTCTAGGAATTCCCCTTCCAGTCTGTACTTCACTCCTTTGAAAAATAAACCCGTTCACCTCCCCGTGTTCTTCTTATTGAAACTTCATTTCCCATTATTTGAGAAAATAGAGCACAAAACTAGAGATTTTCGATAAACCTATGATTTGTTTAAATGTCTTTTTTATTCATAGTACCATAGGGAAACCAATTCCATTTGCCAAATTTGCATACATATTCTGAAGCTTTTCTTACACAAATGGAAAACTCACAGTTCTTTTCCAATATTTGTAGTCAATATAATCACATTTCAGGTTTTTTATAGCCTTCAAAGAGTAAAAAAAAAATTAGCTTTGATGATATGAGCAAGTACATTCTAGAAATTTTTAGCTCCTATTGTAAGAAATGTCATAGTCACAAATAATATACAATTTCATAATGATCTTCAGTGATAAAATATCTTTTATCTCTTTAGAACATAGAATATGAATTTTGCATAAACTCAATAAGGAATAGTCTTTTTATATATTTAAATATACTTTAAATTTAGATAATAGTAGTGTTATAGTTGTATGTAATCTTAAAACTTTTGCATATAGTACATTTTTCTTTTTAAATACTAGATATAAGTCAAGTAGCCACTCAGGCACTGCCTGAAGTACTTTAGTAGCCTTAAAACAGACTTATTTTTCCTCCAGGAGGTCTGTTATAGTTTGAATCTGGCTGGGGTATATCCCAGTGGCATAGGACCTAACTACCAAGTGCAAGGTTTTGAGTTTAATTCCCAGTACAAAAAAAAAAAAAAGGTGTATTTTGAATCTGAAATGTCTCCAAAGGTTGTGTGCAAAAGACTTGGTCCCCAAGCTGTGGCATTGCTGGGTAGTGGGAAAGGCATTAGAAGATGGGACCTAGTGGAAGAAAGCTCTATCATTGGTGGTATGACCTTGAAGGGGATATGGGGACTCTATCCCTCCCTCTCTCCTCTTCCTTTCCTTTTGCCATCAGGTAAGCAGGTTTCCTCCATCAGGCACTCCCCACCACAGTGTTTTGCCTCACCACAGGCCCAAAAACATCACCATCAATTGAAACCATAAGCCAAAATGAACTTTTTCTCCTAATAAGTTGTTTATCTGAGGGCTGGAGAGATGGCTCAGTGGTCTAAAGCATCTACTTGGAATAAGCTTGGCAGAGCACAGGGACCGCGGTTCATCTCCCAGCACCACATGCCAGCCAGCCCCGCCCCCTGGTGGGCTGAGCTGGACACACACACACACACACACACTAAATAAATGTTAAAAAAATAAAAAATAAGTTGTTTATCTGAGGTATTTTTTTCAGTGGTGGAAAGCTAACACTAGGAACTCAGTAACATAATGGAAAATTCCTCTCTTGATAAAATTATGTGCTGCTGGGAGAAATAGACAAAGAAGTAAAATATATGTTCTATAGTGACCAGTGCTAAGAGAAAAATGACCCCAGAAAAGAACATGAAAACAAAGTTCACCAATGTGGTGGCACCAAGGAATGTGAAAACTACCCACACTGACTCCCCTTGCTGGTAAATTTAATGAAAATATACACTCCTGCAAAGTGCCTAGTTTTAAATTTTTTAAAATTATGACAAAATACACATAACATCAAATGCACCATCTTAACCCAGGTAGTTCAATAGTGTTCAATATGTTTCCATTGTTGTAAAACCAATCTCCAGAACTTTTTCACCTTGCAAAACTGAAACAACTTCCCTCCAGTCCCTGATAGTATTTTTGTGCTCCGCCAAGAATTTAATCTAGAATTTTACTTCACAAAAGTAAAAATCATGTAATATTTGCCTTTTTGTGTCTGGCTTATTTTACTTACCATAGTGTCTTCGGTAGTCATTTACATTATAGCATATGTCAGAATTTCCTTCCTTTGCAAGAGTAAGACCCCTGAATGTGTATTGTTTATCCTTTCATCCATTGGTAGACATTGGGATTGCTTTCACTCTTGGCTACTGTAAATGATGCTACTATGAACATATGTGTAACAATATCTATTCCAGATTGAGGGTACAATGGCAGGGTGTGCCTAACATTTGAGGTGTAGGGTGTGCCTAACATTTTCACAGACCTTTGTTTGATCTCCAGTACCAAAACAAACAAACCAGACCCTTGGGGGCTTTAAATTCTTCTGGATATTGCATTAGTCTGTTTTTCATTACTATAACAAAATGCCTGAGCCTGGATAACTTTATAAAGAACAGGTTTCTTTAACTTACAGTAGTTTGGGGAGGTTCAAGGACATTTTAGCTGATATCAGCTTGACTATGGTAAGGATCCCATGGCCAACGGTATCACAATACAGGGCTCATGGGTGGGAGGAAAAGATTACAACTGAATACAGTAAGCCAGAGACGCTGGGGCCACACAGTCCTGTGCAAAGACAGCTCTCCCAAAACCTATAGATCTCCTACTAGGTCTCGCTCCTTACAGGTTCTCTGCCTCCTCATACTGCTTCCCTGGGCCTATATCTTTTGTTTCATTTGTTGAACAAAAATTACGTTTTTGGGCTGGGGAGATGGCTCAGTGGAATAAGCGATTCCCTGGCAAGCGCAAGGGCCTGAGTTAAATCCCTGGTTCTGAAGAAAAAAAAAAATCATTTTTGCTATAACATTTTTTGATAGTAGCTATATCATTTTATATTTCCACCCAAAGTGCCACAAAGCCTAAGTGTTCTAGTTTCTCCCCATCTTCGCCAATACTTGCTGTCTTCTCTTTCTACAGTGGCCAAATTGTTGAGTGTGAGGTGATATTCATGGTGCTTTTCATTTGTATTTCTCTACTAATTTCCAGCATTCATCATCTTTTCATGTGCTTATTATTCACTTGTCAATGTTCTTTGGAAAAGTGTCTTTTCAAGCCTTTTGCTCATTGTTAGATCATTTTTGGTGGTGGTGGTGTTAAAATGATTTTAATGAGGAAGATTATATTTCACTACTAAAAATTCTGAGAGGTTTTCTTTCCTCTCTTACTACCTTGCTCTCAATTTTGAATCCTCAGCCCAGAATCTGAGTCCTCCCATCACTAGCTCAGCCCAGAATCTGAGTCCTCCCATCACTACCTCAGCCCAGAATCTGGGTCCTC